GTGTGATCATTCACCTAGAGCCAGACATCCTGGAATGTGAAGTGAAGCGGGCCTTAGAAAGCATCACTACAAACAAAGCTAGTGGAGGTGATGGAATTCCAGTTGAGCTATTTCAAATCCTGAAAGATGATGCTGTGAAAGTGCTGCACTCAATATGCCAGCAAATTTGGAAAACTCAACAGTGGCCACAAGACTGGAAGAGGTCAGTTTTCATTCCAATCCCAAAGAAAAGCAATGCCAAAGAATGCTCAAACTACTGCACAATTGCACTCTTCTCACACGCTAGTAAAGTAATGCTTAAAATTCTCCAAGTCAGGCTTCAGTAATACGTGAATTGTGAACTTCCAGATGTTCCAGGTAGTTTTAGAAAAGGCAGAGGAACCAGAGATCAAATTGCCAACATCTGCTGGATCGTTGAAAAAGCAAGAGAGTTCTAGAAAAACATCTATTTCTGCTTTGTTGACTATGCCAAAGCCTTTGACTGTGTGGATTACAATAAACTGTGGAAAATTCTGAAAGAAAAGGGAATACCAGACCTCCTGACCTGCCCCTTGAGAAATCTGTATGCAGGTCAGGAAGCAACAGTTAGAACTGCACATGGAACAACAGATTGGTTCCAAATACAAAAAGGAGTACGTCAACACTGTATATTGTCACCCTGCTTATTTAACTTCTATGCAGAGTACAGCATGAGAAACGCTGGAGGATGAAGCACAAGCTGGAATCAAGATTGCCAGGAGAAATAACAATAACCTCAATATGCAGATGACACCACCCTTATGGAAGAAAGTGAAGAAGAACTAAAGAGCCTCTTGATGGAAGTGAAAGAGGAGAGTGAAAAAATTAGCTTAAAGCTCAACATTCAGAAAACTGAATCATGGCATCTGGTGCCATCACCTCATGGGAAATAGATGGGTAAACAGTGGAAACAGTGGCTGACTTTATTTTTCTGGGCCCCAAAATCACTGCAGATGGTGATTGCAGCCATAAAATTAAAAGATGCTTACTCCTTGGAAGAAACGTTATGACCAACCTAGACAGCATATTAAAAAGCAGAGACATTACTTTGTCAACAAAGGTCCGTCTAGTCAAGGCTATGGTTTTTCCAGTGGTCAAGTATGGATGTGAGTTGGACTATAAATAAAGCTGATCGCCGAGGAATTGATGCTTTTGAACTGTGGTGTTGGAGAAGACTCTTGAGAGTCCCTTGAACTGCAAGGAGATCCAACCAGTCCATTCTAAAGGAGATCAGCCCTGGGTGTTCACTGGAAGGACTCATGTTGAAGCTGAAACTCCAATACTTTGGCCACCTGATGCGAGGAGCTGACTCATTTGAAAAGATCCTGATTCTAGGAAAGATTGAGGGCAGGAGGAGAAGGGGGTGATAGTGTATGAGATGGTTGGATGGCATCACCGACTCAATGGACATGGGTTTGGGTGGACTCTGGGGGTTGGTGGTAGACAGGGAGGCCTGGGGTGCTGCGGTTCATGGGGTCACAAAGAATCGTACACGATAGAGTGCCTGAACTGAACTGAATGATGACCGCTCTTCCTCTCCCTTCCTCCCACCTCCTCAGCTTTAGTAGAGTTGCTTTATTTCATCACAGGATGTGGCTGCCCTGTGCCAATGAAAACATCCAATCTGAGATCCTCACAGCATTGGGGGTACTTTAGCCATTGTAGATATTCATTTTAAGTGAGGAACAAAAAATAGATGAATTTTTCTTTGTAGAACTTACCCTATGCACACTGTGTCAAGAACATAGCTAGAAAGAATGACTAAACTCAGAGACTGCTAAAGAGCATCCTAGATCTGAAGACTATTTGCACATAGGCACCAGGTGATGATTATGTCTGTTAGTATTGTGGTGGTTAGGGACACCCCATAAAGAACTGCTGTGTTTCCTTTTGGTAGCTCATTTTTAAAATTTTGTTTGTTTCTTTTCTCCCAGTTTCCTTGAAATATAATTAAGGAATAGAGTTTCCACCAGGACCAGAATGTAGGCTGTTGAGTGGGTTGGCCTCAAAAACTGTCAAGGCCTTGATGGATGTTTAAAGGGAAAGGGTCAAGTATTTATGGTTACCAAGGTTTGTTTTAGTGAAGATTTTCTTTTTTTGTCAGTCTTTTGTTTGGACATCAGGCATGTCTCTAGTCCTGTGATAGTCAGGGATAATGTCAGCATTAAGAGCTTGGAATAACTCACATATTCTCAGGGGCCTTCTATGTACATTTTCTTCATGGCAGAAGCACCAGTGGAATAAATAAAGATCTCATATGGCCAAATATAAAAGCTAGTATTACAATAACAACATTTTATAGCTCTACATTTTGCTTTCAACTATATTTGAGATTAATTCATTAAAAAAAATTAGCCAAAAAGCTAGTATTATTTTAGTTTTGATACATAATCCAGATTTTCTCCTATATGATTTAATAGACTAATACTTTAAAAGAAAACAATAATTAGTTTATGTTTTGGACACACAAGTATAAAGATGTTATTTTGTGACATCAACAATGGAAAAGAATGGGAACAGAACTGTAAAGGAGCAGAGTTTGTCTATATTATTCAGTTAATTGATGCTTTTGAACTGTGGTGTTGGAGAAGACTCTTGAGAGTCCCTGGGACTGCAAGGATATCCAACTAGTCCATTCTGAAGGAAATCAGTCCTGAATAGTCATTAGAAGGATTGATGCTGATGCTGAAACTCCAATACTTTGGCCCCTGATAAGATGAGCCAATTCTTTAGGAAAGACCTTGATGCTGGGAAAGATTGAAGGCAGGAGGAAAAGGGGATGACAGAAGATGAGATGGTTGGATGACATCACTGACTCAATGGACATAAGTTTGAGCAAGCCCCAGGATATGGTGAAGGACAGGGAAGCCTGGCATGCTGCAGTCCATGGGGTCACAAATAGTTGGACATGACTGAACAATATCAGCAATCTTTGTCAGTTGTTTTGTTTGCAATTATTTTCTCCCTTTCTGAGGGTTGTCTTTTCATCTTGTTTGTTGTTTCTTTTGCTATGCAAAAGCTTTTAAGTTTAATTAAGTGCCATTTGTTTATTTTTGTTTTTATTTCCATTACTGTAGGAGATGGGTCAACGAAGATCTTGCTCTGATGTATGTCTAAGAGTGCACTGCCTATATTTTCCTCCAAGAGCTTTATAGTTTCTGGCCTTACACTTAAATCTTTAGTGTACTTTGAGTTTATTCTAGTGTATGGTTTTAGGAAGTGTCCTAATTTCATTCTTTTACATGTAACTGTCCAGTTTTCCAAGTATCACTTATTGAAGAAACTGTTTTTTCTCCATTGTATATTCTTGCCTCCCTTGTCAAAAATAAGGTGTCCATAGGTGCATGGGTTTATCTCTGGGCTTTCTATCTTGTTCCATTGATCTATATTTCTGCTGTTGTGCCAGTGCCATACTGTCTTGATGACTGTAGCTTTGTAGTATAGTCTGAAGTCAGGAAAGTTGTTTCCTCCAGGTCTGTTTTTCTTTATCAAGATTGCTTTGGCTATTCAGGGTCTTTTGTGTTTCCATACAAAAACTATTAATTTTTTGTTCTAGTTCTGTTCTTTAAAAAGCCATTGTTAGTATGATAGGGATTGCATTGAACTGATAGTTTACTTGGGGTAATATAGTCACTTTCACAATATTGATTCTTCGAATCCAAAAACATGGTATATCTCTCCATCTCTTTGTGTCATCTTTGATTTCTTTCAGCAGTAACTTACAGTTCTGTACTTAGGTCTTTTGCTTCTTTAGGTAGGTTTATCCCTAGGTCTGTATTTATTTTTTGAAGACATATATCAGACAGTGATATAGTCTTATTGAAATAATTTATGTGTAAATGTCATTTCTTCTTACTGTAATTGATTATTTTTAAAAATTGAGGTTTAGGGAAATAAACTAATGAATACATTTTTTCCCCTCAAAAATCCATATAGATTTTTCTAAACAGAAGTCATAGTTTTCACATTTGCACTAGGGAACAGCTTTATACTCTTTATAGTACAATTTTTTCTGGATTATGCTATTATTTAGATAATGTTATAATTTATACAAATTAGCCTGATATTTAAGATCCTTTATCAGGCTGTACTGGAGCTAAGCTTCACTTCTCCACTCACCCTCTGCTTCAGTCAAATGAAATAGCTCTATTTTCATTAAAAGACCCTATATTCTCCCATCTCCAATTTTGCTTCTTTGGATCTTTCTCTTTATGGGATCATAAAGAGATCCCCTTCAAATCCACATTCTACCAATTCCTTAGTATTTAGCTCAAGACTTTGAGGAAGCTTTCGAATCAAACAATCGTTCTCCAACATTTGTAGCTTTGTTATTCTTTGGTAGACTTCTAATTTTTAATTTAATGTTATAGATATATAGGCTCCACTGTCTATATACTTTACTAAGATGTTAGTTATTTGTAGACACTATCATGTCATCATTGTTGCATTTATTGTTATGGATGCTTGATACTGTTTAGAAATAGTAATCTTGAAAGGAACAATTACATTTTTAATTTTGCTTTTTTACATCTATGAATAGTGGGAAACATAGATTAGCTTCCTATAAGTATTTATTGATAGGATATAATTTAAATCCCCAGTTATGCCAACTATAGCTATTTTATATGGCCTATGATTAATAAACATATATAGAAGGAATAAGCGCTAACACATCAATGAATACAAAATTGCACACCAGTACTCTACTAGTTTTTTATATACATGTTATTTTATTTTCTCTAAATGAGGAAAAAGTAAGTGAAGATTAAGTGAAGATTAAGAATCCTTTTTATATATGAAAAGAATTGCAATCACAAGAAATGTCTTTGTAATTGTCAAAGCTAACATATATCTGTCTTCAAACAATTTCTTTGCATGGTATGTTAACTGAAGTAATAAATGAAAATGTTACAGGATAAGTGTAAGAATGACTTTCTAATTTAGGAGTAGACTCCTAAATCTCTTGTTCTATATGCTTTAAGGGTGACTCCAAGAATGATTCATGGATCTTTGTCCTCGCAGTTCTTCTGAGCAGCATCTTTGTCTATAACAGCATGAGCACCATCAACTTGGAGCAGCTGCAGTATCCTGGAGCAGCTATAGTACCCCTGGAACACCTGCAGTATCCATCCAGGAACTGAACCAACATGTTTCATGAATTATGGGAATGGAGATAGTGTCATTTTCTCCTTTCCTGTCCTTTGGCTGTCTTTGGTGGAGCAAAAGGGACCCAGGGTCAAAGAGAGTGATTATACTTTTTAATTAGAGAAATGTAGGAATTGTGGGTAAGGGGTTGCTTTTCCTTAACTAAGTCCTAGCTCTGTGACAGAGCTCACAGAACTCCTCCGGGCCAAGTCTTCTCCAAGACCTGATGGAGTAGAATATTCCACAGAGTTTGTGAGTTTCTTTCCAGACTTTATCTGGACTGTAGAGGATTTTGCCCTGGAGCTAAAGTTAAAGGGTCACCCTATCACAGAAGACCAGTATCTGGAGAATGCCTTGAAGCTGGTTCCAGGTATCAGAGCATGACTCGGGTAGTGGATGGTTGAATAGAGGGTGGGATCTACTAAATTACTGTCCATCATCTCTGGGGTTGCATTTGTATTTGAGACTAGATCAAAGTCTGTAGAAATCATGGGTGGAAAGTGGGTTGCAAAGCTCTAGGAACTAGAGTTGAAGTTCTCTGAAGAATAGTAAAGTGTAAAGTGAAATTATACAAAACCAATTTGTTTTCAACTCAGTCTGTGACTTACCACCCTGATTATAACGGGTGATAAAATCTTTTGAAAACCAGATCCTTGTTTTCCCTTTTTTGGCTTCTGCTTTTCTCCATTGAGGAAACCAAAGGACCTTGTTTTATGACTTGTTAGATATGAAATTACAGTCAAAAGTCTATCTAGTAAAAAAAATTCACACTGATATTATTCTTCTCAAATAACAATATATTTTTTTTGAAAAAATTTGTATAATTATATTACTCTGAAATGACTTTATAGTCTAAATAAACCTGAAAAAGTGTCTTTTCAATCTATGTGCTGTGCTTCATCACTCAGTCATATCTGACTCTTTGTGACCCCATGGAAAGCTCCTCTGTCCATGGGAGTTCTCTAGGCAAGAATACTGAGTGGGTTGCCAGGCCCTCCTCCATGGGAACTTCCTGACCCAGGGATCAAGCCCTGGTCTCCTGCATTGCAGGTGGATTCTTTACCATCTGAGTCACCAGGGAAGCCCATTCAATCTATACCTTTTCACTATTGCTTATAAACATCAGAACTGTCATTTTACTCTGAATATCATAGCTTTTTCTTAATTCCTACATATTCATTCTATAACTTCAAAATAGTAAATTACTTTAACAGGTTATATTTACAAGACTGAATATCTGTTGAAACAAGGGAGGGATATACTTTCTGACTTATTCATTCTTGCTCCCATGTTTCTATTTATGCTTTCTTAAAACATTTATTGAGAAATTGACAAGACAGAAAAGGATCACTGTTAAGTCAAAGATGATCCCTTACCTCAAAGAGTTTAGAGATTAATGGTGGAATCTTAAAATTACATTTTATCTGCTTATATCCCTCGGAGGTTTTTGTGAAAAGTTAGCTAACTCTGTAACAATTAGTTTGAAGCATCAAAATAGTTTTCCTTAAATGATCAGGTGTCATTCCTAATATTGTCCATTATCGCTTGTTTGTGACTCTTATTTTTGATCCCACAGCTCAATTTCTACATGAGATTGAGTAGCGCAAAAAGTTACATTTGGCCTTCATTCTTCTAGCCATAAGTGCAATAAACATCCAATTGGCAACTACTCTACTGTGTGCAGGTCTGGGGATATCAGTCATAAGTTTCTTTTACTGTATCGCATGTCTCCCCAGATTTCTTTCCAGAGTTTTATCTTTGGTGTAAGTTTGATGTGCAAAGAAGTCCTGAATTATAAACATAGGAGTTGTAAATAGAGAAGACAACAAAAACATATAAATCCCTATCACAAATGCTGTTACCTCCCTTGTCCCAAGAATATTCCCACTCTAATCTCTGTTTATGTCCCTTAGGCAAGAATATCAAAGCCCAAATATCCAATCTAGGAAGAGAGTGCATCAAGGGTTTTTTCCCAGCATGGCAGTGTCTTGTTTTTGACCAGCCTACAAATGACAAAGAACTCTTATCCAATATTGAGAATGTGTCTGAAGACCAACTGAATCCTGAATTCCTGGAATAAACAAGCAATTTCTGTTCTTATATCTTCACCAGTGTAAAGACCAAGACACTTAGAGAGGGAATCACAGTCACTGGGAATTGTTGAGTCTCCTTTTTCCATTTCTGTGGGGCCTAATACATGCTGCATATTTCAAATAATGCATTTTTCAGTATTTTTATTCTATATGGAATTCTGGGTTTATAGATATTCATACTCCATTATGTATTATATAACATTATAAAATATATAATATAATATATACATTAATACATAACATTACATATTATTATATATTATATATAAATAATATAAATATATATAAACCACTTTCAGGGGTTTACAATTTTCTCTCCAAAACTGAAAACTTTCTCACTATTATCTGTGGCTTCCATTTATCTTAAAAATTCCTCCACTGAGAATAAAATCACCATCTGGTTATAAAAACAGAATATACTATTTTCTCAAGAGAAGTCCTTACAATAAATGTTTTTTGCAAGGGGAATTCAAAAAATATTTGGAGAGTTTAGAGTGGTCCAAAAAATTTAGCCTGCAAATCCCTTAAAGTTCACTCAAAGCCTCAAAAATAGAAATAAATATAATCTGATATATACTGCCACATCTGAATACCTCTGAAATCTATTTTTCTTTTAAATTTTTAAGGAGAAACTATATTTTCCCAATATTCCCTAGCATGTTAAGTGAAAGCAGACTATTTTTTAGACATGTTGTCTGGAAAACCATAACAATGAGTTAGTAGGGAAATGAAGGTGGTGACAGTAAAAGGAGGTAGGTGTGTGTGCATGTGTCCATGCATGTGTGTGTGACTTAAGAAATGTAGTCTTAGAATCTTGGAGCCTATTGACTAATAACTTGATATTTATTCTGGCCTATTTAGGACTGAGGACTCTGGTTGTGATGTATGTGGATACAATCAGTAGTGGAGCTGTACCTTGTTTGGAGAATGCAGTGACAACTCCGGCCCAGCTAGAGAACTTAGCCATGCAGAAGGCAGCTGACCACTATGGCGAGCAGATGGCCCAGTGACTAAACCTCCCCACAGACATGCTCCAGGAGCTGCTGGGGGTGCATGCAGCCTGTGAGAGGGAAGCCATTACAGTTTTCATGGAGTGCTCCTTCCAGGACAAAAACCAGGAATTCCAGAAGAGGCTTGTGGTATTTTTTCTTAGTAGTTACTGTCTGTCCCCTCCCCTTAAAGAATGAAGCCTAGAGCCCTTATTGACCCCATGGCACATCTCTCACTCAAGGATGAAGTAGTCTATGTCTCATCAGGGGTGGAGTTTCAAATGACTATGTTTCCTCCTTTTTTCTGCAAAATCTCAGGAAGTTTACTTGGAAATGTTTCTGATTCTCTAATGCAAAATCAGTGTAGATATCCTCCTGAAATATATACTTTTATGCATTCCAAGCCTATGCAAAAGTCATTTTTAAGGTGGCTTCTTTTTCAGCCAGGAGCCAAAATTTCTCTTTTCAGACCCTCATTTCAGGCCATTTTCAACATAGGTTGCTCTTTTTTGTACCACTGAAGATAGGATCACTGAATATTGCAACTGCAGTGAATCAGAGAGACTGGATAATTCAACTCCACCATTTCAGATGAAGAACCTGAAGGGACACTAAGAAACTTTCCCATGGTCTTACATAGAGTTTTCAGGGTTGGAAGCAGATCAATTCTTGTGAATGTTATTTTATTCCACACCTACCAACAGAATGCTTTTCTCATGAGAACCAATCCTTCTACCAGATTCCTTGGAAATTTATCACTTCTGTTCTTTGCTTCTGGTGACATCTCTGTACCTTTCTCTTGCAGAGAATCATAAAGAATTATAAGGAGAATTTCCTGCTACAGAATTAAAAGACATCTGCTATATACTGCCCGGGTAAACTTGATGAGCTTTCCAAGGACCTAATGGAAAACCTTTCATCAGGAACTTTCTTTGTTCCTGGAGGTCATGAACTCTATAGGAAAGCAAAGGAAATGCTTGAAAAGGACTATTGCCAAGTGCCCAGGAAAGGAGTGAAGTTGAGGAATAAGGGAAGCATTGGGAGCCTACAGAATAGAATCCAGGGTGATTTCCTGAAAATTTGAGAGCATAGCATCAGGTGTGGATAATGAGAGAGCATAGGGATATCATGATGGCTTTAGTTTCCATACATGCCCTTTATTCCTGAGGAGAGTAGAAAAGTTCCTTCCCAAAACATGAGAGCATATTTCTGAAATCCTGAGAGACAGAACATACATTATTTATTTCTTCATCCAACAATGTGACATCTAATGTACTAATTGCCTAAATTTACAAGTCAGAGTCTATGTACTTAACATTGAACAACAATGAGAGAGGAAGTGAAATATATAGACAGTTGAATATAAAGTTATAATACTCATGAACCTTTGAAAATGCACTACATAAGTGGAAGGAATAGACACAATAATGAGCAATAATGATCGGGCTTCCCTCATGGCTCAGTGGTAAAGGGTCCACCTGCCAATGCAGGAGACACAGGTTTTATCCTCGATCTGGGAAGATCTCACACGCTGTGGAGCAACTAAGCCTGTGTGCCAGTTACTGAGCCTGTGCCCTAGAGTACGGGAGTCATAATTACTGAAGCCCATGCACCTTAGAGCCTGTGCTATACAACAAGAGAAGAAAGTGCACTGAGAAGCCTGTGCACCATAATTAGAGAATGGCCACCACTCACCACAACTAGAGAAAAGCCTAGGCAGCAATGAAAACCCAGCACAGCCATAAATAAATAACTAATTTTTAAAAGTAATAGTGATAATAATAATCCAAGTAATGAATATTGAGCTGTTATTGCCTGTAGCCATAATGTTAAGTTTTTCCTTTATACTCTTTAATTTAATCCTTTTAATAGCATTAAGCAGCATTTATACTTATTGTCAATATTTTAAAGGTCTAACCTGAGAGGCTTAGCATATTAAACTACCTTGTCTAAAGTTATAGGAAGCAAGTAGCAGAGCAAGTTAGAGGCAGTATTTCACATTGGGAAGGTAAATATGCAAAAGGGCAAAATGGTTTTCTGAGGAGGCCTTACAAATACCTGAGCAAAGAAGAGAAGTGAAAGGCAAAGGAGAAGAGGAAAAATATACCCATTTGAATGCAGAGTTCCAAAGAATAGCAAGGAGAGACAAGACAGCCTTCCTCAGCAATCAATGCAAAGAAATAGAGGAAAACAATACAATGGGAAAGACTAGAGATTTCATCAAGAAAATTAGAGACAACAAAGGAATATTTCATGCAAAGATGGGCAGAATATAGGAGAGAAATGGTATGGACCTAACAGAAGCAGAAGATACTAAGAAGAGGTGGCAAGAATATACAGAAGAACTGTACAAAAAAGATCTTCATGACCCAGATAACCACATGGTGTAATCACTCACCTAGAGCCAGACATCCTGGAATGTGAGGTCAAGTGGGCATCATTATGAACAAAGCTAGTGGAGGTGATGGAATTTCAGTTGAGCTATTTCAAGTCCTAAAAGATGATGCTGTGAAAGTGCTGTACTCAATATGCCAGCAAATTTGGAAAACTCAGCAGTGTCCACAAGACTAGAAAAGGTCAGTTTTCATTCCAATCCCAAAACAAGGCAATGCCAAAAGATGTTCAACTTCAGCACAATTGCACTCATCTCACATGCTAGCAAAGTAACACTCAAAATTCTCCAAGCTAGGCTTCAGCAATACATGTACCAAGAACTTCCAGATGTTCAAGCTGGATTTAGAAAAGACCAAGGAACCAAAGTTCAAACTGCCAACATCTGCTGGATCATAGAAAAAGCAAGAGAATTCCAGAAAGAAAGACATGTAGTTTGGCTTCACTGACTATGCTAAAGCCCTTGACTGTATGGATTACAACAAACTTTGGAAAATTCTTCAAGAAATGGGAATATGAGACCACCTTACTTGCCTCCTGTAAAATCTGTATGCAGGTCAAGAAGCAACAGCTTGAACCGGACATGGAACAACAGGCTGGTTCTAAATTGGGAAAGGAGTATGTCAAGGCTATATATTGTCACCCTGCTTATTTAACTTCTATGCAGAGTACATCATGAGAAATGCTAGGCTGGGTGAAGCACAAGCTGGAATCAAGATTGCTGGGAGAAATATCAATAACCTCAGATATGCAGACGACACCACCCTTATGGCAGAAAGTGAAGAGGAACTAAAGAGCCTCTTGATGAAAGTGAAAGAAGAGAGTGAAAAAGTTGGCTTAAAATTCAACTTTCAAAAAACTAAGATCATGGCATCTGGTCCCATCTCTCCATGGCAAATAGATAGGGAAACAATGAAAACAGTGGCAGACTTATTTTCTTGGGCTCGAAAATCACTGCAGATGGTGACTGAAGCCATGAAATTAAAAGACACTTGCTCCTTTCAAGAAAAGCTATGAAAAACATAGAGATATTGCTTTGCCAACAAAAGTCTATATAGTCAAAGCTATGTTTTTTCCAGTAGTCATGTATGGATGTGAGAGTTGGACCATAAATAAAGCTGAGCACTGAAGAATTGATGCTTTTGAACTGTGGTGTTGGAGAAGACTCTTGAGAGTCCCTTGCATTGCAAGGAGATCAAAGGAGTCAATCGTAAAGGAAATCAGTCCCAAATATTCATTGGAAGGACTGAGGCTGAAGCTGAAGCTCCAATACTTTGGCCTCCTGGTGCAAAGAACTGATTCATTAGAAAAGATGCTGATGCTAGGAAAGATTGAGGGCAGGAAAAGAAGGGGAAGAAAGAGGACGAAATGGTTGGATGGTAATATCTACTCAATGGACATGAGTTTGAGCAAACTCTAAGATATGGTGAAGGACAGGGAAGCCTGGTGTGCTGCAGTCCATGGGGTCACAAAGAGTTGGACATGACTGAGCGACTGAACAACAAACCAGAGATCTTGGGTTTGTAGAACTGAACATATTCTGAGTGGTTGGAACCAAGAGTGAGTGGAAGTAAGTAGCACTGGGAGAGAGACCAGAGAAAGGCAAATCACTCTAAGAATCTTAGACTTGTAAAGAACCATTGTAGAATTTTAAACTTGAAGAAAAATTATATGGAATGCTTGTTTTTCCAGCACTAATGTCTCCAATGGAAATCTAAGTTCTGTGCTCCTTCTTGGTTCCTCAGGCAAATGAGGCCCTCCAGAACTTTCTGGAGTCACAGTTTGCAATAGAGTCATCCTGTTTGAAGATGAAGCCCTCAGTGATGGGGAGAAGGCTGTGGCAGGTACAGGATAGGGTTTGGCTCAAAGGGGAATGGTTAGATTCTTGCAGTGCCCTCTGGCAGGTATGAGAGTACAATCCTGATACAAGGAGCTTCCTCTCTTAAAACAGCAAGGGGAGTTGTGGCTGGACGGGTTTAGACATCTGCCAGACGAGCTTTTCCCATCACATTCTGAAGTGTGCTCTTGGTGGTGTTGACGCGGTGGGGCGAGGGTAGGGGGGTGGGGAAGCGTGTGGCAGAATTCAGAGTTCTCACCTCCCTTTCCAACTCTGTTTGTCTCTGAGGTAATGAGGGTAGAGATCAGTCCTTATCTTATTTTCCTTCCTCTCTAAAACCTTCCTAGGGTAGTGGACCGGGCTAGAAATGAGATAATTGAGAAGGAACAGGAGCTGCTAGTACAGAAACTGCAGGAGCAACATCAGCACATGGTGGCAAAAGAGAGGAGTCTCCAGGAAAATATAGCCCAGCTGACAGAGAAGCTGAAGAGGGAAAGAGAAAACCTCTGAAAAGAGCAGAATATGATGCTAGAGCATAAGCTGAAGGTAAGTCAGGCTGTGGCCTTAGTGGTGCTTGATGGTCATTATCCTGGGTCCTCAGGGAGGCATGGGTGAAGTCTGCAGCAAGACCATGGAGGGAAGAACCATTGCCATTTACTGCTTGTGACTCATTAAAACCCTGAACTCTTTGAATCCTTCCAAAATCTTTGAATTTTCCTGTATAAGTAGACTCTGGAGAGCTCAAGGTGAGTATGGTCCCTGTGCACCCTTGGAGAATATACTGAATAAGAAG